CGTTCGAGGGCTTTCGCATCTCGAAGGATTACTATACCAACTTTTGTGGCAAATTATTACATCAAATCCTGGAACGCCTGCCGGGTCTAGTTCAGGTTGAATTCGATGCATGGCCCTCTGTAGAGAAGAATGGACCTTTGATGACTCGCTTGCTTACGGAAACCCGCGATGCTCAGAAAAAGGTCCTCTGGGGCCCTGAAAGAGGCTGGACCGACACTCAAGATGACACTCACGAGAAACATGGCCTCACTGACGTGGATTCTGCCTTTGATGGCCTGCGGGCCTATTCTGCTGATGTCGTCGAAGCCTTGAGCAACTCGCTTCAAACAGTCAAGTTGGAGTCATGTTAATCCATTATTCGGTGGAAATTGTTCATGTTGTTACGATTTACATACATTGTGCAGCGTATAGATCCTCATAGAGACAAGACACTTGCATTCAACAATAGCCCACATGCCATTCTTGTTGATAATAAATTTATTATCGTTACGTCGAAATTTGAATAGATTTCATTCATCTGTTGGTCTGATTTGGTAACATAAAGCCCAACCAATCAGAAATAATTAAAGTGGTTTGATTGGCACACTTTTCTACCTCTTTAGAGATCTTCATCAACTTCCATGGCAGCACCGTTTGTCTCCTCTTTGGATGATTGCCGTGCCACCGAGGCTTCCTTGTCAATCATCTGCCGCGAAACGGCAACAATGTTATCCTCAATCAACTGTTGACTTACGTCCTCGATATCTGTAAAGCGTCAGTACCTGTTTGGGGGATTGTCACGAAAAAGAAAAAACATACGCTTCTTGGGATCAACCTTGCCAACATATCTCGTCTTCAGCTGATCCTTGCTCAACTCCGTCTCTTCCTTGATTCGCTTCTCGTAGCCCTCTGCAAGAAGAACAAGCTGCTTCATGCGTTCCACGTTGTGCTTACCCTCGTCGTGGAAGTCACTCATCTCCAAGGCCTCGGTCCATACGTGTTTGTGAAGGTTCATCAACATGTTCTCTTCCAATCCCGTCTTACGGTAATCGATCGCAATGCTGTAATAGTGGCGGTTGAGACCGTGGATCAGAGCCTGGATCGAGGGCTTGTTGAGGTGACCCAAGTTTGATGTAGTCTGGCGGGGCTCCTGACCCATGACCACCGTCTGAGGCTGGATAAGACGGAAGGCGTCAATGACAACCTTGCCCTTCACTGACTGGATAGGATCGACGACAACCGCAACCGCACGCGGAGTGAGCTGTTCAAAGGATTGCTGAGTGTTGATATCGACCGAGGAGAGCCAACAGCCGAAACCGGGATGCGAGTGGTACCAGCCAACGACAGTTTCTGGTCTGTACGAAACTATCAGCTTGGGGGAGTCCTTTGGTATATATCAACTGATAGGCTTACCGTCCCGTCTGTCGGAGCATTTCCATCATTCTAGTTTGGAACACCGGGTCCACTGCCTCAACACTGACACCAGTACCGCTCTGGGGCATAGCAAAGACGTCCACTACGCGAACTGTGTATTCATCAACGAACTCGCCCAGCATCAGGCCCATGACTTCCATCGGGACACCGGCGCGGCCATGTCGTAGCATCTTTAGCAGAGCCAAGGAGGAGATGTGGACAGTTTCAGAGTTATCAATCAGGTTTGGGGTATCCTAAACACAGTTCTCATTAGTCGATGTAGATGAATATGGTGAAGCTAGGCTATAGCGCTGCCATTAATGCCTCCCAACGAGGGGATTAGAGGTCTTATCCAACTTACACCACCAGGAGCAGCACCTCCCATCCCCATGCCTTGAGCGGCTTGGAGCATCCGGTTAAGGCGATCCATAGTAAAGAGATATCCGACAAGACTTGATGAAACGAGAGTAAAGAGGGCGAAGCTATCGCTATTTGGAAGCTCCGGAGCAAGTCGATTTGTCTCTAGTAGTTTGGTATTGTCGAAACAGTATTCAATGAAAGATACAAGATAGCAAAAATCCCCGACAGATGTGATATTAGCGAGAAGATAACAAGGTTGTCAAAGACGTGTTAACTGATGATGAGCAAAGCCGTGGGAGCTTTGCCTGACGAAGGCGGTGTGTGGTTCGGTCGGCTTCCGCTCCTTCGCGGCCGATTCTCTCTCCTCTATCTATTCTTCAAAAGCCTGAATGAACAATGACATTGGCTTGCTATTGTGATTAAGTTCTACTACCTAATCTTCGCATTGCGGGATCTGGTGACAATAGGTGCCATCGCTGCCTATCTACCCCCCTGGGAGTATATCTGCATTGCGCCTGCGACTAACGCTACTTCATCATTCCCCGGATCTCACTTACACTTCTTGAACTTCACTTTTTTTTCTCCCACTCTCAACCAAGTGACCGTCAGTCACTCTCTGCAACATGGCTTTGGAACCTATCTCTGATAGGCTTCTCGGCTCTAAAAACAAGAAAGTCGCTTATTTCTACGACTCCGATGTGGGCAACTATGCCTATGTCTCGGGCCACCCCATGAAGCCTCATCGTATACGCATGACACACAGCTTGGTGATGAACTATGGCCTCTACAAGAAAATGGAGATCTACGTGAGTACTCTTCTCTCTTTTCTGTTTGACCCTTGCACTAACAAATCAGCGTGCGAAACCTGCCTCAAAGTATGAGATGACCCAGTTCCACACCGACGAATATATCGACTTCTTGTCCAAGGTCACACCTGACAATATGGACCACTTCTCAAAGGAACAGAGCCGGTACAACGTTGGAGATGATTGCCCCGTGTTTGACGGCCTTTTCGAGTTCTGCGGAATCAGCGCTGGAGGCAGTATGGAAGGCGCTGCGCGACTGAACCGCAACAAGTGTGATGTCGCCGTCAACTGGGCTGGTGGTCTTCATCACGCCAAGAAGAGCGAAGCAAGTGGCTTCTGCTATGTCAATGGTATCGTACTTTCGTCTTCAAAACTCTTGTCTCAGAAGCTAACACCCACGTAGACATCGTTCTCGGTATTTTAGAGCTTCTGCGCTTCAAACAGCGAGTTCTTTACGTTGATATTGATGTTCACCACGGCGATGGTGTCGAAGAGGCCTTCTACACAACTGATCGTGTCATGACCTGTTCTTTCCACAAGTACGGCGAGTACTTCCCTGGTACTGGTGAGCTTCGCGACATCGGTGTTGGGCAGGGCAAACACTACGCAGTCAACTTCCCTCTTCGTGATGGTATCACTGATGTCACGTACAAGAGCATCTTTGAGCCAGTCATCAAGAGTGTGATGGAGTGGTACCGCCCCGAGGCCGTGGTCCTTCAGTGCGGTGGTGACAGTCTGTCCGGTGATCGCTTGGGCTGCTTCAACCTTAGTATGCGAGGACATGCCAACTGTGTTAATTTCGTCAAGAGCTTTGATCTGCCAACATTGGTTCTTGGCGGTGGTGGCTACACTATGCGCAACGTTGCACGGACATGGGCTTATGAGACTGGTATCCTTGTCGGAGAACCCCTGGGATCGGAATTGCCATACAATGATTACTATGAGGTAAGATTCGTGTTTCTTCCAGATGAACTAATACTAACTGAATTAGTACTTCGCTCCTGATTATCAGCTTGATGTCCGCCCCTCCAACATGGACAACGCCAACACCAGAGAATATCTAGACAAGATTCGCAACCAGGTCGTTGAAAACCTCAAGCGCACGGCATTTGCTCCTTCAGTCCAAATGACAGATGTGCCGCGTAACCCCATGTTGGATGGCATGGACGACGATGCTGATGATGTTATGGATGACCTCGATGAGGATGAAAATAAAGACAAGCGGTTCACACAACGACGATTCGACCAACGCACGGAAAAGGCTGGCGAGCTTAGTGATAGCGAAGATGAAGAGGAAAATGCCGCCAACGGTGTTCGTCGTCAACCAGGCTCCATGCGTCGTCGCAACCAAGTCAACTACCGAAACCTCGAGCCGGACTCTGGGCTGGATAGTGGCATGGCAACCCCTCAAGATGGCTCATCTGCAGCTGATGGGGAAATGGATTTCGCCCTTGATTCAAAAGTGGGCGATGCCCCACGCACTGAACCCGAGGCGCCTTTTGCCGCCCCGGAAGCTTCTCACGCTGATGAAACCCCCATGACTGATGCCGATAACATGGCTGTGGAAAGTGAGGAACAGGAAGCCTCTACAACCTCTCAACGCCAGTCTCCTCCCCCTCACGACGAAGATACTACGATGGAGGACGCTACTGCTACTGTCGCTGAACCCACTACTTCGGAACAGGCTCCGGCGCAAGTGTCAATGGTTGAGGAAAAGCCTCTCGTCGCGGGCTCCACCACCTCCCCTTTGCGGGCCCAGTCCCCTCCAAAAGAGGCTCACGATTCTACCCTCGAGAAGAGTGCTGAGGCTTCTGCTCCTACTGTGGATACCGCGGCCACAGCGACTAAGGAAGAGAACTTGGAGCACCTAGCAGAAACCAAGAAAGAGGAGTAATCGGCTGTGATGCAAAGACGACAATATCGGATCTGGCGCAACGGACAATGGCAGAAAGGTGTTATCGGTTTAACAGCGTGCTCGCATCTTGCTTGACACTGGGAGGGCATTACTCGTGGCGGAATGGCAGACTCGAATCGAGGTTTAACCTTGAAATGTTTCGGGGATGGCGGGTTGTTTTATGAACTTTCAAGGAATCATTTCATGTTTTATCTTCATCCATGTGCTATCTGTTTTTCCTTTCGCCTGGCTTTTTTTTTGAGGCTGCAAATGTATTATTCAGTGAAATGCAATCTCCCAAACCATTACATTTGAACCCTAGAAGTATACGGTTGATGCCTCAGGCATTAGACTTTACCGCTATTCCAAGTTAGGCTAGTATTAGGGCAAAGTTGATGGAGCTGAGCAGCCAATCACCTGCCAACGCCAAGATTTTACGCACTTTGCCCACTAAGCGAGAAAGCACACCTCTAGTTTGGATCCTCGACGTTCGACCTCTTGTCGCCAACCTTTTTCACCCAACTTCGTCCCCGTGATCATCAGCCATCATGTCTAAGAGAGGGTGAGTCTCCCAGCGATTCCCTCCGTGGCCCCATTCGATTCGGAACCGATACAGAATTTTGCAAGCATGGACAAGCAACACAACACCTTTGTTTCGAGAGGATAGAATGGGACTCGGATTAGGAAAAGAACGAATCGACAAGAACGAAATTCGCTAACTGTTAAACAGTCGTGGCGGTGCCGCCGGCAACAAGCTCAAGATGACTCTCGGTCTGCCTGTGTACGTCTACAATTTCCTTATCGTCTAGTCTGTTTCGAATGCGCCTTTTCTTGCCCGCCGAATCCCACAAGTTATTTCCAGTCAATCAACACCCTCAGAAGAACATACGCCATACGACAAACGAAAAGATCGGCGGGAAGAAAGGGAAAGAAAAATTGGATATCCACTTTCAGCATTCGAAACACGACGTCTTCAAGATCTAGAACAATTCACTAACGGGTCCTTTTTCGTCAAACAGTGGCGCCGTGATGAACTGCTGCGACAACTCCGGTGCTCGCAACTTGTACATCATCTCCGTCAAGGGTATCGGTGCCCGCCTGAACCGTCTTCCCGCTGCTGGTGTCGGAGACATGGTCATGGCCACCGTCAAGAAGGGAAAGCCCGAGCTCCGCAAGAAGGTGATGCCCGCTGTCGTTGTCCGCCAGAGCAAGCCTTGGCGCCGCCCCGACGGTATCTTCCTGTACTTCGAGGACAACGCAGGAGTTATCGTCAACGCCAAGGGTGAGATGAAGGGTTCCGCCATCACCGGTCCCGTCGGAAAGGAAGCTGCTGAGCTCTGGCCCGTACGTTATACACTCCACCTGGAAATGGATTCCTTTCCATTTTTCACATCTCCGATCCCAAGCTAACACTTTTCTTAGCGTATTGCCTCCAACTCCGGTGTCGTCATGTAAAGAGAGAAAACCCGAATTTTAAAGAAAAAGAACGATACCAAACCTCAAATCTGCTTGGGACCTGGAATGCGGTGCATATGAGACCATAGGATTAAAATGGGAGCTGGACAGGTGGTGTCCATTTGACGAAATCCAACTGTTTATTTTAAAGCCGGTTTTATCCTCCATCTAGGTGTTATCTCCCTCCCTTTACTGGCAGCTCTCGGAAGTATTACTTTAAAATCACATCCTTTTGCAATGCCTTGCCCGTTACCTCGAGGGCTGGCCTAAGGGTTTTAGGCAAGCTGTATGGGAGGGGACTTGGTCCTGGTTGTTTCTTCTTTGTCCGATATATGAACTCTGATATGACCACCAATGGCTCAGCGTAGTCCCTTGCTAGACCCTTCGTAGATGTACAGTATATATACATATATACATATATATATAAGTGTATAGGGGACAACTTGAATAAACCTGCAGTTCTATATCTGGCTTGAGGGTGTTGTGAATATATATACCGCAATATATGTATCCAAATCCAACCCGCTCGGTTATCCAATGCTTTTAATACAATTATAAACAAATCTACAACCCAATTATTTCATCTGTCCATTCGGAGTCTTCTGTTCTGATTTGACTTTCCGAGTAGTCGTCTTCGCCTGAGCACCACAGGATAAGAACCAAAGCAGAGCCACACCCAGCGTCACTAGCACGAGGATATGAACTACCCACCAGATATGCTGCACGCCAGCTGGACACATAGTGATCTCATAGCTCCACTCGCCAGCGACTTCATCAAACCACGCCGAAAGGAGACCGGCATTACCGCCGAACTCTCCCATCATCGAACGGAGGGTCACCTCCCGGATAGAAGGGTCGTTGATGTGCTGAGTTTTATTGAAGCGATTTGCAGCCCACTTCCAAGTCCGAGACAAACCCTCATCATCGACTGTTTCAGTGCGGTTGACGAAGTGAACAGTATCACAGCCTGTGTGGTCATGGCCCGTAAGGATTAGTCCGTTCCGGCCCTGACCACCAGCAAGCGCATTCTCGTCGCCGCTCAGTCCAAATATGCCTTGCAGGATCGCGCTAGCGCTGAGTGAATCGCTGAGATGATTCTGCTCCTTGAGACCACCGTCAAGCCAGCGGGGCACACCGTCGGGACCATCCTTGTCATCAGAATCGCGGAATGAGAAATATGGTCCGTCAGTGCACACGCCGTCTTCCTTGTGCAAGGGTAGATGTGTCAAAAGCAAAGTAAAAGCCGACCGGTCCTCGACCGGCGAGAGTCGATCGGCGATCAGTCCATTCAGATAAGAATATGTATTGCTCTGGACCTCTGCAGAAAGTGCAGGAGTATCGAACATGAGGGAATTGAGGTTAATCAAATGCAGAGTAGGGGTCACAGGCTGGTCTCCAGCAGACGCAGACGAAGACAAGATTGGCGGGTGTTCGAACCGCACATCCCAATTTGCACGGCCAAACATACGCTCAAATCGCTCCATCCGCGCCTCACTGATATCACCCGCATATCCAACATCATGGTTTCCCGCGACATTGATCAAGCGTCTGGCCCACGCCCGATCCGCGCCCAGGGGTTCCGATGGCGGCGCATTGCTGCCTTCACCTTGGCTCCAACCCGCAGCACCGGTTCTGGTGATGTGGTCGTCGACTCGCTCTCCGCCATGGAACACACGGTTCCAGTACCGGTATCCGCGCCAGGCGAATTCGTCGTCGGAGATCCACTGGCTCCCCACCAAGTCGCCCAGGACGGTTGTGTGCGTCGGCCGGGTCCACCAAAAGAGTGTGCGGTAGATGTGCGCAAGATAGTAGTCATTGCCGAGGAGGTCGAGGCGTTTCACGCCTGACCTGAAAGCGCGTGGGATGTCTTCGGTTACGAGGGTTTGGAGACCGGTTGTAATTTTTGAGAGGACATTCTCGTTCAATAGAGGTGAAGTGGAGGAATTGCCGACTGCTTCCTGGATGGCGCGCCAGTGGGTCTGCATGCGAGGGTATAATTCATATTCGGGAAAAGGGAGTGAGGAGTCTCCTTCCAATTGAGGGTCTGCGAGGACTAGGAGTCTGAAGATGGCGGGTTGACTGTTTGCGTCTGTAGTTGAAACGCCGAGGTGTTGGAGAAGCGTGTTGAGCACTGAATTATGGTATAACTGCTTCTCGCCTGATTGCGAGGCAGACTGGGGTAGAGGAAAGGCGCATCCGTTGAAAACTGGGTAGAAATAGAGGTAAACAGTGGCGGTCACTGAGAGTGGAAGAAGGAGCGCAAGGGTGCGGGAGAGCAGCCAGCGGAGGGACATGAGGGATCTAGAATGACAGAAAAGGATAAATGTTATAAAGAACTATACAGCATATTGAAAAAGTTGTCTTGAAGGGTGGAAAGGAGAAGAAACAAAAAAGCCAGGGAGGACATCGCTAATCGGCAAAGATAGCGCGCACATATATATACGGGGATACCGGCCACGGGATTGAACTACCCAAGGCAAAATGAACAACTCATAGTCTAGTCATTGTAAATAATCCCACTAAATATTGATGATTCTACTATCAGGAAATATTCAAAGTACGCTATTTATATACAACGTGGGTAGGATGGCGGCATATACTGCCTTGAATCATAGCTGGCGGTGTATCCGGCGGTGAATACCCTGCTGGTGATGAGAGAACTAAAACAGTGACGGTATAAATTATTATATCTACATTCGCAGACGCAATTAGTACAGAGAGGAACGCTCAGCTCCAGTAACTTCGTATCCATAAGCAAGTCAATCGTATACTCCCACATAAATCCCCCGGCGACCACCGTACATGCAATGACGAAATTGGCCCGAGTCAACAAAGGGAAGAAGTCTGAGCGAGGGGGTATATCACATCAAACGCCAGCAAGAGAAAGTAAAAAAAAAAGACCAAGATATAGTATCCTTCGCATAAGTTCAAGCAAGGCCACACACAAATAAATATTCACTTGGATTCTGTCCTGGCCAAAGGATCCGGAAGCAAGGACGAGTTGCCGTCGTCAAAGTCTCCGAAGGGGTTAGATAGAGGTCGTTCGAGGCCTTTATCTGTGTTGTTATTATTCAGACTGCCGTTTGTATCATCGAAGGAGTTGGCATCAGAGGTTTGACTGAGATTTAGGCCTTCGATTTGGAGACCTGCTTCTTCCTCTTCCTCATCAATGGTCTGTTCGGTCTTAGTGCTGCCTGAAGCAGGCATTAGCTCCGGCGGCCGCTGGTTCATCAGCCGGGCTTGTTTCAAACTAATAGTTTTTTGCTTGTTGGTGGATTCCACTGCCTGGCCCATATCACGCTCGATGGTCGCCTTCATCAACGCTGCCATCCACAGACGGCCCTGCTGAACATTGTCCACCTGGAAGTAGTGGGTGGCCGGTTTCGTGAACTGCACTGTGCGCGAGTTGCCTGTCTTTGGTGGCACAAGCTTGAAGAAGAACGGCCCACTACCGTCCTTGGTGGTCAGTGACTGAATGACCGAGGGAGTGGTGAGCTTCGTGCCACCAGAGCTCTCCACCGTGTTGTTGGCATTGGCCGGTAACGCGGTTGAGCCGGTGATGGTTGCGTGTAGAGCGATGATCGGGTCTTGATCCGCCCGCAGGACTCGGTGAGCGGTGATGTCGATCAAGCCTCTTTCTTCGGTGTCGTCCTCGGAATAGTAATAGGAAAGACGACGACCGCGCAGGACGAACAGACGGGGCTTCCAGGTGGTCATCAGGTTGGAGGATCTCTTCTTCATCCATCCACTATAGTCACAACCATCCATCTGCTCATGCGGTGTCTTCTTCTCAAGACCCCGAGTATAAGCACTAGTCTCTTTCTTGGATTTGACAGTCCGAGGACGAACTACGAATCCTTGCCCGTCAATGACGGCCTTACCGGACCCATCTGTACTATGCCGTTCCGAGCTCTTAGACGTCGCGGATGGAGTTGTGGATCCGGTGCGAGCAGAGGTGGGATCAGACTCCCGAGGCGAGTCAGGTTGCACAGAGGTGTCAATCTTCTTTCCAACAACGTCTGATATGGCACGAAGGCCCATGGCTCGGCGGAACTTGGGCCCGGCATTCTTCAGTGGCTGGAATTGCGACGGCGAAGCGCGAGAAGAGCTTTCCGAATCACCTTTGCTGCCGACCCGAGGGAAGTTGGCGAAGAAACCACCACCGTTACTAGCCTTGCTCTCGGTAGCTGACGACTGAGTTCTATCCGTTGAGACACGCGTGCTCAAGCTCCGCAGCCGACTCTTCGGTGGAGTGCCGTGATAGGCTTGAGCCGCTGGAGAGACATGGTTTGCTGCGTCACGGATCGAGTCCACGCTGCTAATGCGAGTGTGGCGCTTCGCCGGAGATATCACTTTATATGGATCTTCTGCATAGCTTGACTTTCGCGAGTGATTGCTTACGCCGACTCCGGCGGACCCCCGCTTCTGTAGAACCCGGCGGCTTCGGCGAGAGTCAACCTCGGTTCCCGAGAAATAACCCCGATCTAAGTCATCAACCTGATCCGGGGTGCTGATATAAGAGTTGGCGTAAGAATCCGACTCAGCGATTAGTGGTCCGCCCCGGAAACCACCCGGACTGGTGCCCGCAGAGGTTCCTGGGCGAGCGGGCATAGATTGAGGGCCCGAATTGAGAGTCCAGGACCGGTCGAATGAGGGCTTCTTTTGATGGTGACCAACGAAAACCGAATCAGACATGCCGCGTTGAGTGGCGTCAATGGAAGAATGACGACGCGCCTGGTTGAGATCACGGATTGATGCCGCAGAAATTCTCCTTGGTGAATCATGGCTGTATGGAGGAGTATGCGGTGTCATGGGCGAGCTGTTGTTGCTGGCCAGTCGGGGGTGTTGCGCCGGCGCAGAGACTCGTGGATAACCAGTGCTGGACTTTTCTGACAAGGTCGGAATCCGAGGAAGAAGTGGACCGGTGTGCCCAGCTCGAGATAATGTACGCTCATCGGAAGGCCCTGAGAAGCTAGAGGATATTGAGTCTCTCGGGGCTTGCTGCTGACTGAAGCCCTTGGTGTCTTCTTGGAATGCCTTGATCTTGTGCCAGGTCTTCAGCCGTTTGCCCATGACTCCAAAATCGAACTCCTTCATAAAGATAAAATCTTGATCCATATCAAGAAGCACATCACCAGTAATCTCTTGTTCTTCAAAGATGTCGCAGTGTTTTGGCTCAATGCCGAGCCCCCGCAAGAATCTTGAAGTCTGTGTTTGACTCCATTTGCGCACCTCTTGCTCGGTTGGGTGATTCTGTTCCTCGTCGTCGGTTTCATTCCCATTGATATAAGAAGCCCTATGGCCAATATGACTGCTGTACTCGCTGCCGGAATCATTGATCGTCCTGGGTTCTTGAGTGGACACGCTGTGACGCGGGGTGTTCATATCCGTGATATGCTCATCAATGACGCTCAATGTCTCGTTCATGACTGGACTTTCTTCACCATTTATATGATTGTCCATAGAACCACGAAAGGCTTGCTGAATATCGGCCGCCAGGCTTGGGCGAGGCAGCGGAGATGAGGCGGACCGATGCTGTGTGGGAGAGCCAATTTGCGTTGACTGCATATCAGAGCTAACGTGGCGCGACGCTTGAGGGGTGGTCTGCCCACTCCCAACTGATGCAAACGACGAATCGGGCGCGGGAGATTCTAATTGTACCGGCGACTCTACAAGTATTGGCGACTCGGCGAGTGTCTTTTTTGAGGCAGCTTTGGTAAAGTCTTATCAGAAGTATCAGCTCGGTGAATAGTCGGGGGTGGTTGGGTGAGGGGATAAGGGAGGCGCATACTCGCAGGGAAGAGACCAGTTTGTCCCGTCCTAAGATTTTTGCCCAAGTACCAGGCATCTCCAAATCCTTCATCTAACTCGACCAATTCAATCTTGTCGCGGGGTGACATAATCAGTTCATCTTCTCCGCGCCCGCCAAATTCATCTTTGGAGTGTTAGAAGCTCAAGAGTCACCAAGATAGAGGTGTCGCACACGACGTCACTTACGAAGAACTTCCAGAATGTCGCCGGGACGAACACCCTGTGGTGGGCCCATGGTAACCATTTCAATATTCCGTGTTTCAAGTCAAGATAGATCGCAAGACATGGCCTTAGAGCCAACGAGTACGCAAATTGCAGATTGCAATTTCGCGCGTATCCCTCTGGGAAAGAGCAATGTGATTTGGTAGAATGGAGAGAAAGGGGAGAGAATGTGAGAAAGCTAGAGAGATTAAGAGATTAGAGAGGATTAGGTTAAACAACTAGCGGGGCTCGGGAGCACGAACCTCTTAATCCCGAGGGTTTTTTTTTTCCCCTTATATCTGTGTAAAATGTAAAATGATATATATGTGATATATTAGAAAGGATAGAATATCAAAAATTATATGTAAAGTTGAAAGCTGTAGAGACAAATGTTACCAATATAACAAATACCAATATAACCACAAATTGTAAAAAAAAAAGAAAAAGGTAAAAGTGACGTTTGCAAATTGTAAGAAAGTCTGGACTTGACACTTTTCCGTGGTTGGGAGATGTTGAGCTGAGAGGTGGCACAACTTTTCAAGGTTATTACAATAAAAATTACCATAATAACTAGTTTTGGTAATTAGCAAAGTACTATGTAACTTGGGAAATTCCAACTGATGAACCCGGTCATTCCCAAGACATACTATGTAACTATGTACTCCGTATAGTACTCCTAACTCCGTAGTAGCTACCCGATCTACATATTATTTGATTTGATGGTGTTAACTTACCTAGGTAGGATAACTACTCCATACTTATAATATTATTAATTTCTTAGTTTCCATAATTTGAAGGTTCCCAGTACCTGCGTTTATTACTCTGCATGGATCTATCCCTATTAGGGTATCTAAGCGCTAAAAAGCGATTCTTTGTTTGATAAGCGCTCTTTGTTAACTAACCTTGGAAGGGATTTGACAAAAAGACATACATATGCTTCACGAAATTACTCGATGGTATCTCCTAAATCAAGATCGCACGCTAGTGCAGATCATATTGAAAAGTCCAATACTACTGCCAGCCTGTTTTTGGGCGGCACTCGGAGAGACTGGATGGGCCCGCAGACTAACGCCCCGGAGAAATCGGCGCGAAATTCTCGCGTTGAGCTTCTCCCTCCCAACTCCCTTCCTCACGAGCTTGTCTTGATGTCCCCCGTCACACCTGGTGAGAGCCCTCCCTCACGTGGTCTTCATACAAAAAGCCCCGACACGCAAGTGACCGCTCTTCCCTCACCTGTTCTCAGCACAAATTCTCACCCAAGTCCTGTGGGCAACGATGCGGTCGTTTCAAATAAACCTCACACGCCAATCCATACAGAACCCACAGCACAGCGTGGCAATGATGAGCGCATGGCTGTCCAACCTACTCCCAGTGCGCTTGCCACGTCACAACGCGTGACCCAGTTCTCTCAAATGGAACCCAACTCGTCCACAAACTCACCCGTTACAGGCACACATACAAGGGTTAGCAAAGAACGTACAATCTCAAGGCCACGACCTAGGCCGCAGCAGAATAGGGCAGCTGCGGCTGCGGCCATCACCAATAAAACATGGGGGGAATGGTCTGTTCAATTGGAGGCCTTGGTAGACGAGTTGCGCACAAAGGGAGCACTGCCTCGTTCTCACCCAAGCACGCTAACTGTTATTGAACCTCGGATCATTCTTTTGCGCGAGGCCATTTCTCATAAGGATGCTTTCTATTTGGTGATACATCAGTTGTACTGCCGATATAGCATTGATCCAACTACATTGAGTCAAATTAGAGCCCCTGAGGCGGGCATGAATTGGATGAAGCGTTTTTTGGATGACAATGAAAAGATGCATGATGCCGCTACCATTGGGTTTGCCTATTTCCCGGAACCTCCGCATAAGTTGATGCATTCAAAGTGGTACCTCCAGGTGCTGTCTGGAATTCCTGGGTTTTTATCGCGGCTTGAAATTGAATGGCCAACCATCTGGAATAAGCCCCTTCATCCCCCGTTAGCATCTCAACTTTGGGAAGTACTCGCTTGTCCTTCTCCGACTTTGATGTCGGTGATATTCATGTGTGTTGCACGGCGCCTTCATGAAGAGAAAGATATCAGGCCCCTGGTAAACTTGTTTTGGAGCAATTATAAAGCTTTCAAGCAGTGCATGGACTGCGAACTCCCTGGGGTAACTCAGCAGGATATCAACAGTCATTTTGTCCAAGAGTATCGCAAGTTCACACATTCGTCCGAATATTTATCACATACACCATCACATACACCATCTTCCTCCCACTCTGTGCCACCTCCCAGACCTCATATTCAAACCATGCCTCAAGTTACCCCAGGGGTGCCGTCACCCTATCCCAGATCTTCGGTTTCTAGTATCAGTCACTATGCCATAAACTCACCTGCTCCAAGCCCACTTGGTGGACCTTTGCAGCAATCTACCTCAAATTCACCTCAGGGACGGGTTGGTCCACCTGTTAGATCCTTTCAATTTGGCACAAACTCACAAGTGCAGACTACCCATCATCATTACTACAACCCCATGTCACAGGGGCAAGGGCAGGGACAGAGACAAGGACAGTGGTATCAGGTCAATTCAGCTATGAATCCAAACATGGATCCACAGTTGCAAATGCAATTCCAGGCAGCAAGGCACCAACAGATATCGCCTCTTTCGTATGCTCAACAAATGCAGCATCGAGCAATGGGCCCCACGACTTCAGTAGGGCCTGTCGACCCCTCCCTCCAATCTAGTGCTCTCACCTCTGCACAGTTGGCGCAGTCACTCCACGCTTCCTCGCCCGTATCCACGCCAACTACAATAACCCAGGTGGCCCAGCACCCGATGCCACCACAAAGGCCTAACAATCATCTCAACCAACAGCATTCGATGACTTCGCAGCCGTCTGCTTCGCCCATCACACGTGCACCTCAGGCACGGTATTCCGAGTCTTTACCTAACTCTGCCTTCCTCCCGACACCCGGCTACAGAGCACCAATGATGGTGAATCCAAATCCGACGCGTCTCGGCCTACATCTGGTTCATCTTCGTGATCCTATGAAGAAGCTGGTAAAACGTGGCTCATGTGGGAATGACGTTGAGGTCGATTTGTTTACCTACCCCGATACCTTCGCTGTATACCCAACAATCATCAACGTTGACCAGCCGATCTACACCTGGAATTTCTCTTTCAAGCCTGATGAGTGCCAAAAGTTCCCACACATAGCCCACGGGCCAGTGGGCCAAGATTCTGTTTGGACGTTCGGGCCTGGTTGCCGGACTATTCGTCTGCGATGCATTCGTCTTCCTGGCAGTCCGGATACTGTGACGGAGCAGACCTGGTCTACTGCAGCTACTTTCTGGCCCAGTGTCTTTTATATTACGGTAAACGGCCAAGAGCTCTATGTGCGCCGAAAGGTTCACAACGGAAAAGACCTACCTTTGGACATCACCGAGTATATTCAAACCGGCGAAAACAGCCTACGGGTCGATATGATCTTGGGACAGGATGAGTGTAAGAACTCCAAATACGTCTTTGGAGTGGAGGTCATGGAGATCGCCGAGTTCGACCAGATACTCAGCCTGGTCCAATCTGTCCCAGCCGACGACTCTCGCGCAGCAATACAAAAGCGTCTTTCTCCTATCACCGACGATGATGACCTGGCAGTTGTCACTGACAACCTCACAATCGACCTAGTGGACCCCTTCATGGCACGAATATTCGATGTTCCCGTTCGCTCGTGCCACTGCAATCACCCTGAATGTTTCGACCGTGACACTTTCATAAAAACCAGGAAATCTGTATCTGGCCAGGCACCGATGGTCGATAACTGGCGCTGCCCGATCTGCAAGGCAGATGCACGACCACAGTTCTTAGTCGTCGATCAATTCCTTGCAGAAATTCATGCCCAGCTCACTCGTACAAACCGACTTGACGGGATCCGAGCAATCCAGATTAAAGTTGATGGAACCTGGACCCCCAAATATGACACTGATGAGACCTCGCCCGTTGCAGACAAACACTTTTCTCCGAAGCGCAAGGCTGAAGACTCACAAGGGCCTGTTGCCATGCGTCCTAGAAACGACGTGTTCAATGGTAGTGGCAGCCCGGCTGTTCGCACACACGAACATACGGTCATCGAATTGGACTAATGAGTTCATCGGGTTTCCAACAAAGTTCTTACCTTATTCCCCTCTTCCAAGGGCCCTGGCCTTACAAATGTCTTTCGTTCATCTTTGCATGCATTTGAAAAGAAAGATACCCCTTATTGCGTGCTCTTCAAATGCATTCTTTCTATATTCTCTCATGATCTCTCATTACTGGCGTTTGGGGACTAGGTCTTACGGCTACGTCTGGGGTTCTCTTTCTTTATCTCAGTGCGTCACGAACAGAATGAAAATATAATTAAAAACGAAATCAAAGCTCTATGCTCAATGAACTTCAACGACCAGCCCAGTTTTGATTACCATCTTGCCTAGCTCTCCAGTAGTATAGACTAAGAACACGCTTACATATATTATTCTAGATAAGAACCCCTTGAGAGTTTCTCTGGTATCGACATTAGATTATACAAGATATATTATATTGAGCATTTAGATAGTACACCAAGTGCCTGGAGTAAGGAAAGACTACTTTCTGACTCTCCTAACATGACTAACGAGGTTTTCAATGACACCCTCGAAAGCCTCTTTTTCGCCAATCAAACCATCCCGCCGCTTCAACCAGTGCTCCAATACTGAACTGGCACGTTGGGTGACCTGATTTAATTCCTGGACATGCAGCTTCAACTCTGAATCCGTGAGACCATCTAGTGCAGCATCGGTAGTGGCGCACAGCCTGTGGACTGCCGAGAGGTCTATTTCTGGCGCCGGTGGTGCGCCGCGGCGCGGAGTAGCCTTCTGGCGGGATGGGGCTTGCCCCTTTTCAGTGTTTTCGTTGCCTTCTTCTTTACGGACTTGACTGTCGGATCGAGTGCCGGGGCTCTTTGCCCCGGTGCCTTCAAGATCAATAGAAGGGAGAACGAGCTTTTTCTGTTTTGAGGCTGGAAGGATCTCATCCAGATCAACGGGCACGCCCAGGGATACAAGGAATAGTCGACGGATGCGGGATTTCACCCAATTTTGAGGCTGGAGGGGTGGTGGTGCCACGAGCTGAGACCATAGCGAGAGCGATCGCTCGGTGCTGAAGATCGCTGTGGAGTCTGGGATTGGCTCGACGGGGGTGAGAGAGCTTAGGTCTTGGGATGCGGGGAAGAGGAGGTTGAGGGTGTCTTGAAGGGAATCGAGGAGTTCGGAGGTGGATTTGAATGTGTTGAAGTCGGTAAGAGGTGGAGGTGCGCGTGCTTGCTGAGATGCCGTAGTTTCATGTGTTGGAGCTTCCTCTGCACTGGGCTCTTGGAAGCCGTCGTCGAAATCCCCAAAATCATCATCTCCCATATCTTCCTGCTCTTCTACAAATTCGTCGAAATCATCCCCCGCTTCTTGCTTTTCATATCCATGGTCGTCGTTCATGTCATCCTCCGATGGGAGGTCTTGGGTTTTCAGGTCTGTATCATATATTGAGACGTCCGGGACGGTTTCTACCGTATCGGGTGATGTGTCACTTGTCGAGCTTGTATGAGCTTGTGGGTGCGGTGACAGGTTTTCCTCGCTGGGTATTGTATCTACCCGCTCGAGTCGGGTCTCAGGTATGTCTGTCGTAGACCCATTAAGCTCGGAAGATGTAGGTTCAAATGTTGACGGCGTTGGGCTGTCCTTGGAATCTAAAGCCTTGGTCACCACATCAGGCACAGCATCGGCGAGACGCTGTTCATGTGCCAGAGTGCCGGGGACTTCGCCATGGCTAAGTTCATCTGGGTCCACCTTCTCAACCACTGTGCGTGGAATCGGCAAGTCTTCAGGACTCATGGTTTGGTCCTCTGGCCCTGCGGGCGAACACGTCTGGCTGTTTGAGCCTTCCGGAATAACCTCGATCTCGTCCGGAACTGCATCCTGTTCTCTCTTTTTGAATGCTGCGGTGCCGGGGATCTCGCCATGCTGGGTGCTGCTGTCAACCCTCTCGACTCGCGTTCGGGGAACAGGGGAAGTGCGACCGGATCGTGGGAGTGATTGGGGATTGCCTTCACTGGCATCTGAGAAGTGTTCATCGTCGCTTTCAGAAGCTGCTAAAAAAAAGTCAGCTTTGAACAAATATTTGAACTATATCCAAGGGTCATGTACTATGGTCGCCAGCTCCTGGATCTTGCATCTCCGTAGTCCTGCTGGGGGGCTCTAGATGCGAACTAGACAAATCGGACGGCCCCTCCGACATGATTGCAGCTTGAATTCAGGGTGTTAACATGAAAGAAGGGGCACACAGAGATTGAATGATTCAAAATGCAATGGGGCCGTGTGTAGTGTGCAGTGAGGACTTGTTTCCCTGCGATCGATGTGAGTCCAGAACACATCTGCCTTAGGCACCAGATATCAATAAGTTGGCCAGTTTATTCAGGCATAATTGACACCTTGTATCTCAGGCGTAACAATTTCAGCGCGTGCTTGCCAAACTCCTTCCAATTATTATTGTCTATTGTCTTGACTTTCTTGTCCTGCCTTTTTCATTCCCCTTTTAGGCTCTTTATCTCAACCCATTCAACCAAGAGCTCCATTCTCTCATTGTTGGATCTTTTGATCCATTCTGCAGGCTACCTCCCCTGCTCCGTGTGTCGCTGGTGCTTTCTCTCCATCCAGCTTTTTCCCTCGTCAATCTTCAAGCTCGATCACCAACACCATGGCGTTCTCTTTCGGCACCCCGGCCTCTACTAGTGGCTCTAGTGGAAGTCTTTTCGGCACCGCGGGTAATGCTTTCGGCGCCAATAAGGATAACAATGCGTCTAGTGGTGGCCTCTTCGGTAATGTTGGAGCTTCGTCCACCGGCAACAGCGCCTCGCCGTCGCTGTTTGGAGGAAACTCTGCAACTGGTCAAAGCACCCCAACTTTCGGCAATGCAGGCGCTTCCAATGCGACCAACGGCGGTACTTCGGCCTTCAGCTTCGGCAGCAAGGCTCCATCCGGAACTAGCACCCAGTCCAACTCGCTCTTCGGCACCGCTGCGGGCAACCAGACTCCCAACAAACCCGCAGAATCGACCACACCTAGCCAGACTGGCAATGCACTGTTTGGTGGCGCAGGCACACCAAGCATGTTCGGCACCGCGGCCTCAACAGCTACCCCTGCTCCCGCGGGAAGCGCTCTGTTTGGCAACAACTCCACCACCCCTGCTGGACCCCCGCCGGCATCCAACCCACCCAGCAGCTTGTTCGGGGGTGCGAAACCCGGGGTCTCGACTACCCCCGCCGCAGCGCCATCATCTACCACGCCTACTACCTCACAAGCGCAGCCATCTAACAATATGTTCGGAGGGGGAGGAACCAAGCCGCTGTTTGGAGGTAGCGCAACACCTGCTGCGCCCAGCGGAGGTCTGTTCGGTGCAAACAAGCCAGCCGAGTCAACCGCTCCTAAGAATACCGCAGAGACTACCTCCAAACCACTCTTCGGCGCAGCTGCACCCGCGGGTGGAGCGCAAAGCTCGCAGACATCGTCTCTGTTCAAGAATATGGCTGCTCCCGCCGGCGACTCCGCTCCGAAGTCTGCATTCCCGGCCCTCGGCACCCCTCTTGCCTCCACCGCAAACACAACTCCTTCACTAGGAGCCCCGGCCACGTCAAGTGCTACACCTCAAAAGTCTCTTTTCCCTTCCACTGGAGGTGCCACATCGACAGCTGCCCCCTCGACTACTCCGGCAACAACTCCTCTTGGAGGAGGACTGTTTGGGGCCTCAGCTCCCACAACTACTCCAGGTACTGCGGCCACTGCCGCGCCTGCTACTACTACACCTGCTGCACCTACCGGGGGCTTGTTCGGCCAAGCTGCTGCTACGTCTTCGACCCAACCAGCGACCTCCGCCAGTTCGGCAACCCTTGGCGGCCTTGGTACTAAAACGACTGCTGCCTCGACCCCTGCCTCGACTACAACCGCTGCCGGCGCTGCTCCAGCTGGGGCCTCCGCCCTTGGTCAGTCTACTACGGGGCCCGCTCCTCCAGCTCAGTCACGTCTAAAGAACAAAACCATGGATGAGATCATCACCCGATGGGCCACAGATCTCGGCAAATATCAAAAGGACTTCCGCGAGCAGGCAGAAAAAGTTTCCGAGTGGGACCGTTTGCTGGTGGATAATGGTACCAAAGTTCAGAAGCTGTACGGCAGTACTGTTGATGCGGATCGAGCTACCCAGGAGGTTGAGCGTCAATTGTCAGCAGTTGAAGGTCAACAGGATGAGCTCAGCTCATGGCTGGATCGATACGAGCGCGAAGTCGACGAGATGGTTACCAAGCAGGTGGGCCCTGGAGAGTCCCTTCAAGGACCCGACCAGGAGCGTGAGGCAACGTAAGTACAACCCGCAACACAACATCCTGATATCTATGGGTTTGCTAATATGGCCATTAGTTACAAACTCGCGGAGAAGCTCTCGGAACGCTTGGATGAAATGGGCAAGGATCTTACCAGCATGATTGAAGAGGTCAACGGTGCTTCATCCACATTGACCAAGACCAACAAGGCAGATGAGCCGGTACGTCACACATCAGTATCGATACCCTTTTCCTTGGTGATTTTAGCTCACGCATTTTTATAGATCTCGCAGATTGTTCGCATTCTCAACGCGCACCTGTCCCAGCTGCAGGTCATCGACCAAGGCACCTCAGACTTGCAGTCTAAGGTTGCCGCCGCCCAAAAAGCAGGCCAATCGATCTCTGCCCGTCTCGGATACGGCTATCCTAACAATGGTATGGGCAATAACAACACCGCTGATGATTTCTACCGCTCGTTCATGCAAGGGCGGTAAAGGGTTGGATGGTTTTTTCTAATGATTTGAACTCGGAGTTATCGGCTACTTGGCACCTCGATGTGCTTTGGGGGAATGTTCTGTTGTAGTCAGGGAATGCTAATAGTCGGTCACAATAAAATGCTTGCATGCGCTTTGTGATTAACAACTTTGAACCTTTGTAAAATCCAATGCAATAGGATTGACAAAGTCTTCTTGTATCAGTATGTCCTTCTGGTCACTATTGTTAATGTTAATGTTCGGACCGAGTCTCCAGAAGATCCATCACTTCTTTCTGCCTTTTCCTTGATTTCTCTGCTCCTTCTGATGATAGATGTATAGGCAACTGACCCTTGCGGTTCTTGATCAGCCGGTCAGCGCCTGCCTCTAGTAGCAACTCAATGAATTTCACATCATTTCTCTTCGCTGCCACGTGCAATGGCGTATTGCCTTGGCTGTCCCTTGGTTGTACATCAGCGCCTTTCTGCAACAAATGCCTTGCGGAATCAAAAGAGCCATTCAGCGCTAATCTGTGTAGCGGTGTCACGCCATTGGTAGTTTTTGACTCTGGGTCGGCACCATATTGTAACAATATCTTGCAAAGCCCTGCATTTTCTTTCGACGTCGCACAATGCAATGGTGTGATATTACAATCATTTCCCCGTCCTGGATCCGCACCTCGTTCCAGCAAGAGAGCGGCCACGGAGGGTGGATTCAGGTTCTTGCATACGGTGTTCTCCCAGAGTACCCCCCGCAACAATGGCGTGTTCCCTTTTGTCGATTGTGCCTCTATTTTTGCACCTTTATCCAGCAAGAACGCCGCTGTTTCTACCTGGCCGCTCCAACATGCCACATGCAGCGGTGTCTCGCCTTTCTCGTCTTTTGCCTCAATATCGGCTCCTTTCTCCACCAGCAACTTGGCGGTCTCGACTCCATTAGAGGATGCCAGATGCAGGAGCGACATTCCACTTCGATCCCGTATATTGAATTCAGCACCGCTTTCTATTAGACACCGGGCCACTTCCACGGAGCCAGACTGACACGCTACCTGCAACGGAGTCTGTTTCAAGGAATTCATAGATTCCATTTTGGCACCTTTCTCGATAAGAACTCTAGCTACTGCCTCGCGGCTTGTGGGGCGTTTCTCAGCCGCGAGATGCAATAGGCTGGCCCTGGAGCCCGTCGAGTTCACATCAACGCCGTTATCAAGCAAAATTTTAGCGACGGCTGCTTTATTGTGGGCCACAGCCAATGTGATTGCGTCTAGGGGGAGTCCCCAGCCGCCTTTGGCATGCGGGTTGGCTCCATGTGCCAACAGCAACGCAACAATGTCTGCATGGCCACAGTGAGTGGACTGTATCAATGGCGATCTTCCGGTTTGAATATTCTTCGATTCGATCTCCGCTCCTTGTCGGATTGATTCTTGGGCTGTTCTTAATTGTCCTTTGGTTGCTGCCCAATGGAGTGCGCTAGCTTGATGCTTTCGGACGTTGTAGGCATAGAGGAAGGAGTTCAGGAGGATATAGCAGCGGCGACTGGTTCTTGCAAATGCATTCATGTCATTTTGGGAGTCTTGGGCCTCTGCTATGGCTAGCAGAAGCTCATTTGGTAGGACGAAGAGAGTCATGGTGGGGTATGTGTCTCTAGACCAAAATTCAGGGGTTATTTACATTCTCATTCCAAGGGTGCGAACGTGGGATTATAGGAAGGTGTTTCGTAGTTGGACGGTCCCGCTTTATTTTTTATGTGGAGACCGCTGGCGTACCCATAGACAGCTTATATTATCGTACAATGTTTACGATGTCATTGTTTACACCTTCGTAACAAATTACTCGGGTTATTTGATGTTTTCTTAAACCCGTAATATTATTAAGGGAAAAAAATTGTAAGTTATTTGCGCTCTGTACAAAGACAGAGAATACGTATAGGTAGTATATTAAGCCTACAACTTTGTACATGGACTGATGCTGAGTCTTCCCAGTGATATTTCAAGCAAGCTACTGGGCACTATACACACAATAGTGGAGAAACTTCATATGCTATGACAGAGAGATGTCTTGTTTAGGAACAGGCGCTGAAAACGGCACGATCTCAAGATAGGCAAGCAGGATGGCTCCTTAGAGTGGAGGTGGTATTATACACAGCAATTGGAGTAGCGCTTCATATTAGACATAAGATAGAATGGATGCATGGGGCTTATTTGCGGCTCAAGCCATCGCTAAAGAGAAACTAGTCAGCTATACTATTCATATTTAACAGGAAATGGGAATAGACAGGATAGTATTTCCCGACTTGCACTTACATGTGGGTCTCCAGCTCATCCAAGTGCTTGCGCTGCTCGTTGATCTTCTTCTTGAGTTGAGCAAGCCTATCAAACCAGTTAGCTCCAGTCTGATTCTCGGCTCTGCAAATCTTACTTCTCAAGCTCCTTCTCACGAATATAAAGGCTCTCTTGGGCAGCCTCACGCTTGGTGAAGGCATCACTGGTAGAGGGGAATATGTTAGCGATCATACGGATATGATGTCATCCAACTGCGGCAAGGCAGACATGGAACAATCTCCTCGTTGTAATTGAAGTCGGGGTGTGTAAGTTTCGCAGTCAACCTGCATCTCACTTACCCGGAAGAGGCACCACCACTAGAGCGGGGAGCACCGGTGTCACCTTCGCCCATGCGAGGAACAGCTACGGAGAAGGAGCGGGTGAAGACTGCCCGGTTGGCAGTGGCGGCGGGACGGACGAATTGGCGGAGCATATTGATGATTTCGATGGTAGAGAGTTAAAGTGAGATATGGGAGTAAATGGGAAGTTGACAAAGTACGAGGAGAACTCCAGGGCTAAAGTAAGGCAAGCTTATAGCAAATGACGTTACGCGCCAAGAAACATCATGTGATGGCCCAATCTTGGAAGTGTAAGGTTGGGACCTCCAGCTCATACAAGCTTATGTCAGAGCCTAGGTCATGTGAACAAAAATTTCTGATAAGTCGCGGCCTTCTCATTCGACTTTCCACTTACACCTACAGGTATACTTGATCACAGGGATACACATTAATTTACTAACTTACTTTCTTCTTTTTAATATATGTATATATATACATAGTCTAATAGTAAAGCATATATGTTATATTATATACCCATGTTCTAGACTACAAAACCATCATATTGAATGAGGCGTAAGTAAGGAACCCCCGGGCGATTGGCGGATATGGAATGGGGGATGACGCTGTAGGAGGCCCACCGAACCACACAGAAGCGATGAGAGAAGATTTGTGTATATAAATGGCTAACAGTGATATATTCTTGAATACTTATGTTTTATATAAAATTAATTAATTTTTTTTTTCAAAAAATAGAAACAAGTCCAAGTGACATTAAGTACCCTTTTTTTTTAGAAAAAAAATACACAAAGCCCGAATAAGAGTGGGTTGTTCAGGTAAATCCCAACACCGCCTTCTGCCCCCCTCCTTTCCTCCTACCTCCTCTCTCTCAACTCCCTACTCTCTCACTTCCAATCTTCTTTCCATCTCGCTATTTCTTATTACCTTCTTTTCCCTTTTCACAAACCAGGTCAGTTGTTTTCCTGTTTTCCTGTTGAATTTGCCCTCTCCTAGCCCTATTTCTATGCCCCGTCATCACCGCAAAATCCACACATATCAACAAATCATGGTGGAAGAGACACTCTGAAAACTACAATTTCCCCAAATTCAAATGGAATCGCATCACAAGTTACAGTGGAAACTACATGTTCTCGGCCCCTTGTTTACCTGTTGAACCGTTGCCGCGACCGCTTTCCTGCGATACCCCCCAACGACACACGGGAAGAGACCCAAGGGCCCTGTAACCGCCACGATCGTCATGATCGGCCAAATATCTGGGTCTTTGGTCTTCGGTCTTTAGTCCCCATATTTGATTCAGAGACGTTCTACGTGATACTGGAACCTCGGGCCCTTTCTCGTATATTGGGAGAGGGGGTCGAGGGTCGATATCTCTACCCCTCGCCATCAACTACTTGCACTATCCCGATGGCGTGATTTTCAACCCTCATCTCAAACATTACCAATCTGACAAGGAAAACATATGCAAGAAAAAAAATTGGCTAACATAGTTCGCACTGTAGAAAACACATATTCACCATGGCTCACGAAGACGCTGTTTACCTCGCCAAGCTCGCTGAGCAGGCTGAGCGCTATGAAGGTTGGTTTCCTCACAAATTTAGATCGTCTAGTTGCATAAATCCCTAACAATGCGACGCAGAGATGGTCGAGAACATGAAGGTCGTCGCCTCGGCCGACGTTGAGCTCTCCGTTGAGGAGCGCAATCTCCTATCTGTCGCCTATAAGAACGTCATTGGTGCCCGCCGTGCCTCTTGGAGAATCGTCACCTCTATTGAGCAGAAGGAGGAGTCCAAGGGCAACGAGTCCCAGGTCACTCTCATCAAGGAGTACCGCCAAAAGATCGAGGCCGAGCTTGCCAAGATCTGCGACGATATCCTCGATGTTCTGGATGAGCACCTCATCAAGTCCGCCCAGAGCGGCGAGTCCAAGGTCTTCTACCACAAGATGAAGGGTGACTACCACCGCTACCTTGCCGAGTTCGCCATTGGTGACCGCCGCAAGGGTGCTGCCAACCACTCTCTGGAGGCCTACAAGGCTGCCACCGAGATCGCCTCCACTGACCTTGCCCCTACCCACCCCATTCGTCTCGGACTTGCCCTCAACTTCTCCGTCTTCTACTATGAAATCCTGAACTCCCCCGATCAGGCTTGCCACCTCGCTAAGCTTGCCTTTGATGATGCTATTGCTGGTATGTTTGAATGCAGATTTTGCCACGTGCATTGGCCAATGCTAACATTTTCTCTGCAGAGCTCGACACTCTGAGCGAGGAGAGCTACAAGGACTCCACTCTCATCATGCAGCTCCTCCGTGACAACCTGGTAAGTGTGAAATCATCTGCTGATTCAATTCGTTCATTTTCTGACCCGCATTTCCCTCCAGACCCTCTGGACCTCGTCCGAGGCTGACCCCACTTCTGAGAGCGCTGCCCCTACTGAGAAGAAGGAGGAGGCTCCGGCCGCCGAGGCCGAGAAGCCCGCCGCCGAGTAAATGATTAACACCTAAAAAGACCTTGTTGATGGACACGCGTCCTCAGGACGGATGGAGCAACCGAGAGAAAGAGAGCGCGCGACAGGTCTTCTAGTACAAGGATATAGACTGGAGACGAAGGAGGAAGGACGATGAGATCTATCGGGCCGATTGTTGGTTTATAGTATCACAGAGACTCGCGAGGGTCGGTGTGAGAAACATTCTGACCTTTGGGTGTCGATGCTCTCTGGGCCATTTTTGCCTTAAATCTTCTCTCTACTTGCCTACTTGCCCTTTCTGCTTTGGCCCGGCGCTTGTGTTCTCTGCCCTGAGGGATATCCATCCTGTCTCCTCTTTTCGTTTTTTTCATTCTCCTTGTTATTTTGTCTACTTTGCCTCTTAACTACCCAAAGAGTCCCCTTGCGCGCACTCTCCCAGCCCAGCACACATACACACACAGAAGTTCTTCAAATCAGTTCCTTATCAGGACTTCAATAAGGGCATCCCTATTGATCCCTAACCTGGCTTTTCACATTTCCTATTGACTACTCCCCGTATATGTGCCGTGTGGCGTTTTGATTCTCACTAGATGTGATTTCGAAGATAATCTCGTACACTGCCCAGGTGTCTCAGTAATACTTTGCGAATCATTGTACTTGGAGCATGGATGACTATGTATATGAGTCTCCGTCCATCGCCCAGAATGCCGCAGAGTAGATGGCAAGCTGTCATGTCCCGAGTAAGCTAGGCCGTTTCAGATAAAAGAAGCTACCATAATGAGCTCTCATCCTGTTTCTGAACCAACAACTAACGGCTTGTCCACAACACTTCATGCCCTGCTCGTGGGCGATATGGTCACTGATCAGTGGACACGTGAACAACTAACTATATGTAAATAAATCCTTAATCAAAATCTGTCGGCTTACATGCTTCACAATGATTTGAAATAGAAATCCCATGCCAATTAGCAAAATGAGAGTATGCATCACATCCCTATGAACTAAGAGAATAGATAATCTAAGCGATACATCAGATCCACAATACAACTCAGAATTATTTTGGACAATGGATGGGTATTATATATTTGACCGGGGGTGTGCAGACATGCATATGCCCGTGTCTGCAGACAAAGCCGCAATGATATCAGTGGCTGTATTAGTTGGGCACTATCGAGCTTATGTGCGCCTACCGGTGTCACATCGCAGTTGATCGTCGTTTTCTTCATGAAGTATGCATGCTGCACTGTCTGTAATTGGATGATGGTGCGTCTAGTATTGCTCTCAATCACACCTGGTTATCTGTCTCCTCATATCTGAAGTTTTATGCATTTTGTACAGAACTACAAAAGATAAATCTCAATTGAAATAGTTTCCATTGCTATGGTCGAAACCACAATGCTACCAGCCATATGGGCTTGACGAAAAGGGGTATGAGGACAATAAAGGGAAAACGGAGGACTTGAACCATGCACGCTCCTGGGTATGTCAAGTGCAAGCAAAAATAGAGCCACAATGATAACGAACATGACGAAAAAGTGGCATCTTTGTCTCCACATGCAGAGACACGAGTCAGTCCAGTGGAGACACAGTAGAAGAAAATAAAGGAAAAAAGTTGAAATGCGGATGTACAGAGCCCCTCGAATATCGAGAAGGCATGTGAGAAAAGATAAGAAGATAAATGGACTGTCCCAGAAGACCCCTAAGATGCTTTCCACTTCCCACGCCGTTCTGTTGTGGCGATGACCGTCACCATGCAATGCCCGTGAAGAAACATTTCAAATGCTCCAGCAAGAGCCATTCAATCAAATCGAGTCTAGTCCCAGTCCCCGAAACGCCCAAGGTGCTATGCATCGAAAGATAACAAAAAGGAAAAAAAAGTACAAGTGAAACGTGTTCACGGAGCCGCCACAAAAATAAAACGCCGAATGAAAAGAGTGAGGAATATGAAAAAAAAATAAAGGGCCAATAATATCGACAGGGTTGAAGGTAGGCAGAGTGGAACACTGCGTTTATAGAATAAAGCCCTGGAGGTCACACACCGACAAGATGATGTAATGAAGACCCCCAGGAAATCAAAATGCCAAGAAGTCAGGTGGCGGGCCGTACGAGGCATGCAATGATGTCACGAACAATCCCTTGAAGTTCCCCCCTTGAGTAAATTCGGATTTAGCCTCCCCGGTTCAGCAGTCGATCCTTGAACAGGGGTGCTGTGATGATGACTTTGTGGCGTTTAAACCGAAATGACCGAAATGTGGTGTTCCGGGGCCACTCGAACCAGTCGGGTGGCAGATGTGATGTGTGAGAAAATGGCCGTTGTCGGGTAAATGCTGACCCCCCATTACAGAAAGAGAGTTGTAATCATAACCCTGCCGTTTTATGAGTGACATACTGACGCTGGGCATGTAACTTCTCTCAAACCACTTAAATATGCGAGAAGAGAAATCCGTTGACCAGGGATTTGTCGTGAAGTGAAGATAAATCGAATCTCGGTAAAACCGGCGACCGTATGTAACGCATGGAGCCCCCTGCTGCAAAAATAACAGGCAATCCCTCCCAATCAACGTTCACGGGATGAGGTATTCGGCCACCTTGCGACATTCTGTTCGGAAAGCCGGTTTATTTCTGCGCTTTGCGTGCTTTCGTACTGCGGGTCATTTCGCCCTTGGTCATGTTGC